GTGGGTGGAAGGGGGGAGAAATGATGCCGTGGCAGAGGCAAGTAGAGGGAGGTGGTGAGGAGAGGAGGGCTGGGGGAGAGAAGATGCCGGAAGGTGGGGTGGAGAGAAGGGAGGGGAGGGAGGGGGCCAGGGCGCCCACCTTTGTGCATGCCCGTGTAAGGGTCTTTGAGCACCGTGAGCTCATAAATGCGGCCGAACTGCTCGAATAGCGGCTTGAGGTCCTTCTCGTCCAGGTTGCGTGGGATCTGGCCCACGAAGAGCTTGATGGCGTCCAGGTCCTTCATGCCGTCGGGCTGCCCGCCGGGTTTAATATTAATACCCCTTTTTTAGATATTATGTTAACATTTGAAAACAGGTAGACATTTATGCCTTCTTTAAAAGACCATAACATTTAGCTATTTTAAAAACATTTTCCTAAGGAATCTGATTAAAATAAATGCTTAAGCTCAAGTTGATGATGCCTTAATACAAATGTATGCAATGTTTTTGGGTTGAACTCTGGTTCTCCTCCGCGCCCGCTCGCTCCAGCATCAGGACCACAAAAGGGCGCCTCCGCAGCGGCCCCTGGAGGCCAGCGCGCGCATAGCCATCCCGCGCCTTCTGCACTCATCCCAGTCCACATCCCGTGAACCGGAGCCCAGTCCAGGTTGGGTAATTGAGGCCAGCGGGCCGCAAACCCCGCCTTCTGGGTGGGTGACGGTGGGGCTCCCAGAAGGGCAGACCTGACTTCCAGGTGTCATCTGATAACAACAGGAAACATCACTAAAAGTAGAGCCCGGCTTTTACTTAGCTGGGCTGCTCTTGCCACTTGTAAGACCACAACTCATCAATAACAACAAGAAAGAACACGTCTGATCATACAGGCACTGCGCTCAGCACTTTTACGTCGATAACTTACTGAATAGAAATAGGAATCGTGTTTGTTACATCACCAACCAGAAGTAACCTTTTTGTCACACTTGCAGTGTTCAAAATATTTCAAAAGATACTGATGCATTTGGGCCAAGAACTCTATGGACATCATGTTTAAAACTCTCCAAAAATGTCCTAAGATTAAGACTAAGTCCTCTGTGCAGCCCCCAATGTCCTACACACCCGGCCCCACTCCCCTCCCTCCCCTCCCCTCCTCCCTCTCTCCCCCTTGCTCACTTGCTCCAGCCACAGGGGCCTCCTGGCCTTTCTTCCAACACACCAGGCACCCACCTGCCCCAGGGACTCTGCACGAGCTGTGCCCTCTGCCTAGAATACCCTTCCCCCAAAGGGTGCACGGCTTACTCCTTCAATCCCTCAACACTTTCTCTATCCATTCTATCTAAAATTGTTCCGCCACCATCACCTCATTTCTCAGGCTTCCTCCCCCCACCCCCCATAATATTTCTAACCCTTTAATGTAATTTAATTGTAATATGTTGTATATTTACATGTTTCTGATAAAGTGCATAGCTCTTTCCAGGCGCCTGGCTCTCAGCTAGGTTCTTGACATGCACAAACTCATTCAATACACACAACAAATCCTGGGGGTGGTTACAAGTAAATAAACAAGATACTTTTACACTATGAAAAAATACAATGAAAGAAACAGCTAAATGAGTGGAGGGAAATCTTTAGGAGGCAAATTCAGGGAAGGCTGATGACAGAGCTTGGCTTTGAGCTAAGACTGGGGCAGCAAGTGCAAAGGCCCTGGGGCAGGAAGAATCCTGACAGGCTTGAGGAACTTCGAGGAGACTGTAACAGTGAAAGTGGCAGACTGAGCAAGGGTGTGTGTGTTGTGGGGTGGAGGTGGGGCAGTCTACCAATTCTGAATTTAATTTTTAATTGCATTTCTTTATTTTATTTTTTAAAATATATTTTATTGATTTTTTTTACAGAGAGGAAGGGAGAGAGATAGAGAGTTAGAAACATTGATCAGCTGCCTCCTGCAACAACCCACTGGGGATATGCCCGCAACCAAGGCACATGCCCCTGATCGGAATCGAACCTGGGACCCTTCAGTCTGCAGGCTGACGCTCTCTCCACTGAGCCAAACCGGTCAGGGCGATCCTCAAGATTCTTACCATGCTCTGATGCTCCCTATTCACCATTTAGGAAGTAAAAATGGTATGCATAAATGAGATAATAAAATAGAATAAAATAAAATTAGCACATAATAGGAATACAAGTAATAAGAGAAAAGCATGCTGCAAAGGCAAAAATATGAAAGAACACAAAAGTAATCTGAATTAAAAAGGGTAAAATGTCCTCTGGTGGCAAAGTTCCTTTGAATTCTTAGAGAATTCTCTGAAACGTTTTGCAATCACAATTTGGGGAGTAATAACGGTTTCAGCCAGTCTCCTCCCCTTCTATTCCTTTCCCTTCCATCCCCTCACCTTCTCTCCCCTCCCCTTCCCTTCTTCCCTCTCTGAAGGCTGAGATCCTTGCGACTGTTTTTTGGTGCCCCCTTCAACTTTGCTCCTAGGTGCGCCCACCCTGGTCCCTGCCCATTCCTCATAGCAACCATTAAGAGGTAAATACTGTTCTTATACCCATATTACAGAGAGGCAAACTGAGGCCCAAGTCACTTTTGCAAGGTTACACAGTGAGAGTGCTAGGATTTGAACCTAGCCAGCCTGACCCCAGAGCCCACACATTTCCCACCATCCCACACTGTCTTTCTCACACTCTAGGCAGCCAAGCCTTGGTTTCCTCATTTGCCAAGTGAGACTAAAGAGTGAATAGGATGAAGCCCTTGGCGTGGATTTGGTGAACTCATAGGTGAGGCTTAGCATAGCACCTAGGACATCCTTAGTGCTCAATAAATGGCTGTTGTCATGACTGTTACAGGCAGCCACCTGCCCGTCCCCAGGCGGGAGCAGAGTGTAGGGTTAGGTGAGGAGCAGGCCATCCTTGGTCCCTGGTTCTCAGCCTGCAGCCCCAGGCGCGGCTGGGGG